CCCTTCTAGCAGGATGCTGCTTACTGACAAAAATCATAAAGCGCACTGAAAAATGCAGCAGCCAATGGTAGCAGCGCCGACCTCACTTTACGGGGCTGTCATTGGTTGCTGTGCGTCCCGAAGCGCTTCCCTTTTGGTGGTAAGGAACCTGTATTTAGGGGTTTCTCGGAGATGCCCTATACTCCCCGCTTCCAACCTTTTTCCAAGCTTCAGGACATTGTCTTCGATACCATGAAAAAAGTGATTGTCTGTAAACTTGCGAAGCGTTCTAACTCCAAAAAGCCATAACTTCAATTTTTCTAGTGATGATAAACCAACAGAGTGCCTCTGGGCTCCCATAGGGCTCCTCCATCAGTCAATGGATTCTGTTTTTTGATAAGAAACTTCGACTGGGCTACCCTGTGCTCTCCCCCTTCCCCCTCCCCCTCCCATCCACAAAAAATTAATATTTGTCTCCCACGAACACCTATGAAAGCGCTCACCTTCTTCATTTTATGCATTCCATCCGATGCTCGTACTTCAGTTCGAGCCAACACTTTGTCCGGTTCGACACGAGCCATACGTTCAAGGCAATCGCCGATTTTTGCATATGTTTCGGCCACATCTAAAATTCATAGCCTTCAATTTTGATGAAAACGAATAAAACAAGCTGAACAGGTGTCTGACTCGTTCATGTAAGGAAAATAAAGCGAGAAAAGTGGTGAAAATGAAAAAAAGAAGTGAAGAGAATGGCCTAGTTTGCCTCCATGTAGGCAGATGAGAACCCGAAAAAGATATACTAGATTGATTGAGCCACTTAAATGCAGTAAACATGTATACAACGCATCGCGCTGAATGCATAGAGTTACGGTAATGGTACTGTAGCTATATGGTATGGTAGTAGGTCTCAAAACTGTAGAACTCCTACGAAATGGCACTAATACTTTACGATGTGGACCGCAAGAAACTCGCGCTGTATTCGATTCGTTATAGGCAGAAACAATGCTGACAGGATGACAAAGCAGAAAATGGGCTGCTATGCACTATAGCTGGAATTCCTGCAAAACACCTGGAGCGCAGAATCAGCAAGAAATGGTAGCCGTGCGTGCTAAAAGATTAGTCATCTCAAAAAGCGCGTTCTCATCGGAGAAGTGCATCCATAGCATATATTAGCATACATATTCTGGTTATTCAGATTATGTGGACGGTGATGGAAAAGAGGAGAGTGGCAGGAGAGGGGTGGAAGAAAGCGAGACTGGGTGTAACTTAGCAGTCCAGAAAAATCAGATACCTTCCACAAAACCTTATACCTGACCACTTCATGTAGAAACTTACTAAAGGGTTTCAATAAGCTATTGTCCAAGTAGCAGCTCAAATGATTCATTCGCGGCTCAGAAAATCTACTTTGAACTCTAGTCCATACCGTACAAAGACGCTGATTGGTCTGCATGGACAGTACGGTCTGGGCAGAATTTTAAAATCAATTATCTCAGCTAAGAGGAAATTTAAGAGCTGCCGCTTGAGCAATAGCTTGACTAAGACATTCCAAAGAGTGTATCCACATAAAAAAACCAGAATTTCCATATTTGTTTGAGCTTTCCACTCTGATAAACGGAAGAGGTAATGAAAAAAAAGTTCCATAAGACGATATTTCTTCACTGCAGCTATTATTTGTCGTATGTACGGCAAAATCAGAATATTTTGCAAGCAAACATATGGAAATATGATCGAAAGCTCTGTTGATGGCCATGCTATTTACGACTCGATCAACAACAAGGGATCAGGAATCGCCGGAAACGAAGAGATTTACGAGCTTCTATAAAGGGGAAAAATCAGACAACAGAGGAAAGAACGAACAAATGATTTTTCGCAAAAAAAATTCTTTTCCAAAGTGATCTGAAACAATTTGTTATATTGCTACTCTTCGCTAAATGTGAGCTGCTGTAGGATAGGTAAGATCCGAAAATCCCGAAATTCTGAAAATCTTATATCCACGCCTACCAAACCCCAAAACTCAACGCTGCGATACGAAACTTGCTAGAAAACTTGAAGCGGATAAACCAGTTAGTACAGTTGGTACACGAACAACATTCGTTGTTTACGACACGAACGCAGGACCCGCCCCTTTCCCAGACGTATAGAGATCAACAACGGACGGGCATCCCTCATGTGGTGAAGGAGGAGCGCATGGCACGGCGCTAATTGTTCAAAGCTAACAAGATCTATGGCCTCTTGTCAATCAGAAGTTTGCGATTTCTTTCGAAAGAAGTTGGAATTAATGAGCATGATACTCCCATCGCGGAACAAAATACCTTCTCACTATCTCAAAAACAAATGTGAAGTGCATCAATAACAAATTCAGATTAAATGAGCAGAATATCAATAGAGACAGAAACGATTTCGATAGCGATTCACTGAAAAAAATCGAAAGTAGGGATGCTTAGATATACTCGCGTCGTTTTATGGAATATTATAAGCAAATGCATACTCATGCACGTTGGTCAATTTTATTGAGGCTAGGAAAAAGCACAAGTCAAAAAGGGCACTAAAAATCAATTAAGGTAATTCCGAGTCAGTCTGCCACAGTTTTTCTAGGTTTGGTATGACTTTTCCTGACGACAGACGGGAGAGAATTCTTCAAAAAAACTAACTCGAAATTATCTTCAAGGCAGCAGTTCGGAAGAATTTCGCTTTC